GAAAGAACGAGAGAGGGAGAGAGAGAGAGAGCAAGGGAGAGTTTCTGACAGGAAACATATATGTACGGTTAGGTTGAGCACAAACTTGTGTAAGCCATACGCCATGCAAGACTATGAAGAATATTTGAAAGAAGAAGTTTTCTACATGCTATGCGCTAATAATTCCCAAGTGGTTAAAGCAACAAACTACAGAAATTATTTGTCTTATATGGACGTCTTGAACTTACATCAATGCATAGAACTAGTATTGCAGAAAATATTAAACTAATTTTAATGCAGATTTTTATGGGCTTTTCAAACAACTTTTAATGTCGGATTTGTATTTTTAATAGACTTTGTTCTTTACAAAAAAGTCAATGAACCAGTAAGCCGCACTATTACTATTATGAATGGTATATTAACTATTGTATATTTTGATTTTTGTTGAAAATGGCTACTTTTATATTTTAATTTTTACCTCACAATCTTTAAAAATACACACATGCTTGATAATTATCAACATCTAGGGAAGCTCAAAGCTGAGTATTGTGAAGTAGACGCCTCCAATTAAGTCGACGAACTATGAGTACTCGTTTTTGATTGATTTTCCAAGTAAAACAATTAGTTACTCACTAAAAAATTGTTACACAAATCAAATGAAGATAAGTTCAACTATCTGCAAATGCGCTGCAGTTTATTTCGGCTGCGAGCTTAAAAACAAAGAAGTCTAGTATATTTTTATGCGATAAGTGATCTTCAAATTTTAAGTACATCATCGATAACTTTCTTTATTGTTACCTATAAAAGGGCTTCTAATAATAATGTTAGTCTTGTAAAAATGTTCGGGCATTCATTAGCTCTATTCTCATCCTGTCGGTAATCTTAAATTTTTTTTAAAAAAGTCTTACAAGGCATATTTATCATGCCTTATTATTCTTGACAACCACAGTGCCGCAAGCCGAATTCGCTATAATCCAAAATGGTAAATATTACTTTAAGACAAATACAGCAAAGAACTGGTTTGATGCCAATGAGGCTTGTCATCGTATGAGCGCCGAATTGGTCACATTTGAAACATTGGAGGAATGGAAGGCCGTTTTAAGGCCTTTAAAATCAAAACAGTTTTTCTTTAATTGCTTGGAACACTTAAGAAAACCAAAATTGCGAACTTGTTTCTTCTTTATGTTAATTTCGGAAAAAAATAATTAAGCACTTAAGCAATGTCGTTAAAATTAACATTTACCAAACATTAAATAACTGATAAACCTAAAAATCAAAATAGATAACATTTTTTTTTTCACTTTTTTATATAAGTATTTATTTATTTTGTATATGAAACAATAGTTTCTTGTAATATTTTGGATTAATTATAAACTTGTTATTCAATCTAAGAACTGCAGCTTTTCACATAAACTTTTCTTACACATGTTTCCTTCTTAAACTAGAATTTTTGCCTCTCAAACGAAGCTATTTGCACCAACTGTTTGAGGTAATTATCCTTAAGAACTGTACCAATCTTTTTATTGCTGAGACCAGTTAAAAATTTTAACCTTCTTACCCTACTTTTCAATCTTTTTGACCACGGCACGTGACCAGCTTCAAAATGTCAATGCAGCTGCTAACGAATCGCAGAAGTTTTAAGCAAAGCAATTGCACTAAAATCGGAAAAGCTGCAACTGAAAATGAGGCATATGAATCAGCACAACAACAACAGCTCGCAAGAGCAGTCAGCCGGAATGTGGCCAGGGCTAAGGATAAATCCATTGAAAGAATGAAGCAAAAGGAACCAGTTCTAGTACTGAGCGAGCATAAGCACGATTTGGGTCAGTTACATCAAAAGCAATGAGGAAGCCGCCCCAAAACAGGCTCAACTTTATCATCATCATCATCATCATTATGTGCCCCAAACATAACCGTCAAAGCTGTGCCCTCAAGGCGCCTCTTGTTGTTGTTTTTGTTGTTCTCGTAGCTGGCAGCAAAAGTTGAAATAAATTTAATTGAATTTCTGCAGTGACACACAAATGCAAACAACAAATAAAATGCCAAAAAAATAACACAAAAATACAGTAAGAAAGCCGAGGAAAAGTTTATGTTTCAAATTAATGAAATTAATTTTTACGCATGTGCCGCAAACTGTCGAAACCTACAGAATAAGAGAATAATGGCAGACACAAAGTCGAACACAAGTATCATACTTGAGGCATGATAAGGGCATGTGTACGCTAACAAACCCTATTGATATTTACATTATTTAGTGACAGTTAACAGTTATGTTCAGTTGATTGGCGCTATTGGAGCTAACAAAAGCAGTTCCTGCTGGCTGATAGCAGAGTCTATGCCTGCTAACATAAAATGTAATGGCACTGTTACAACTAACATATGTGGATCCTGCACTGAGAAAAAGGCTACTCCTTAACATTGTTATCGTGATCTAATACTAAGACTCAGTTTAGTTGATCAGAGTGCGAAAATTGTTTTTAACTGTTTCTACCATAAATACTATGAGCGAGCTTTAAGGAAGCTTCTTTAAAGTTTATACTGGTAGATCATAATCTGAACCAACGTTAACATTAAGAGTAAGATACATTGTTTCTATGTTTTTCAGGCTTATGTCAAGTTCAATTCGAAATGCACTCAGCGCTATGTTACTTGGCACCATTAGCCCTAAAAGTATGCTATACTTAAGTAATGATTTTCCAATTCAAAACTTAAGAGTAGGACTGATAAATCACTCTCTTAGTTAACTTTAAAAAGGACTAGTCAATGTGGCCAAGACCCACGAATGTTACGCGAAACTTCTATTATTAGGTTAAGAGCATTTCAAGGAAAATGAATGTTTGTCAAATTGCTAACGACACGGCGAGATAGCTATTAAGGCCTTAACAATAAAAGAAAGCAGAACGACAAAGTGAATGCTAAATCTAATTTCAATAAATAAAAGTGACATTAAACAAAGGAAAAAAAAAACACTTAGTGCCCAAGTTGCCTTGTCTGTCTGTCTAACATCCTTCCTGTCTTCCGGCCAAAATTCGTTCTGTTTTCTGTCTATCTGGGAGGGGGACCTGGACTGCAAATGGCAGTTGGTTTTGGGTTAATTAGCCAAGTGAACGTTGCGGTTACGTGACTGTCACACACTTACACACACACTTACACACACACACCAGCACACACTCGCACACCCACGCTAATTGCAAAATCCTATTATGTATCCATTAGATACTCACACAAGCGCCAAGCTACTCAGCAACACATGTGAACAGCACTCTATAGAGCACATTTAGCAAATATATAAAATTAAATTTTAAAAACCTTTCCAAAACTGTCATCTATATATATATATGTTTATATTTATGCATATATGTATGTATATATGAGAATCTTCACAATTCTAGCGCTCATTATTTTTATGCACAGTTTTAATGATGCTGCACAACTCCTTTTGACCCAATAAATTGGCATATTGTGTGTGGTAAACAAAGTAATAATCATAAATATAATGGGTTATAAATGAGATGAATGACAAAAGTTGCGACGCCATTCGTACGAATATATAGAAAAGTTCAATTTGATGCTTGTCATTAGACATTGGAAGGTCGTAAAGCGAGCTCATAAATAGCCAAGTCACGAAAGAATATTAAAACGAACACACATATTTATACATTTTGCAACACTCTTTTGCATATTTTAATCATTAATTTAAGCGACAAATGTGACTTTGGGTTATTTAAATTGCCAAATTAAAAGCCAGGCTAAGAATATTCCCAAAAATAATTCTCAAGATTTTTAATGTGTCCCGTTTAACATTACATATACATATAAAGCTCAACATTTTTTAAAGTAAATCTTGTTTGAACTAATATCCATGAATTCCACTTCAAGCTAAAGGCACACTGTGAATACTAATTATTTCTATCTTTCTAAGCTTCATCTGATGTTTGAAGGCCAATTTAATCTACGCTAATTGAAGCTTTATTTACATAATTTATATAATGACAGGTTTGGTAGATTCTTTCAGACATAACCTACGAATAACTATAGATGCTAGATTCTCTATGAGATAATTAGTTAAATATAACCTAGATATAAGAAATTTAAGCAAAGTGAGGTAAACAACACATATCTAACATAAAAAGCACTTCATATTATATAACAGAAAATTAACAGAGAAAAGTTTGCAGAGCCGCCGCATCAGAAATCTGCAGGCACTCAAAAACCTTGAATTATAAATTTAACTTTCCTATTATTTATCTGATTTGCACTATTTAAACAATTTTACAATAGCCTTTCAATTGCACATAATTTAGCCCCTAGTTGTAAACAGCAGAGTAAGAAACACAAATCTGAGCAATTGTCGAAATTCACATAAATATGGCAGCAGTTTGTTTACATGATATATAGGCATTTATTTATATTTATAGCCATTAGCATTTGAGTTAACATTGCGTGGCGAATAATTTATACACTGCGCATTCAAATGTGCGAAATAAACAAATTTACAATTAATTTCCTGCAGGGGGAAATGACACAAAACGATTTGCATCGCTTCGATATACATTTTCAATTATGCATAATTGAAACGGGGCTTAAAAGAACAACCAGTGGGTGCAAACTAGTGAACGACTGCGAGATACCCTATTATCTTGAATTAGCGGCACACTGAAAAAGTTATATTAATTATTCAGTCGAAGCTTGAATTAACAATAATTTATGTCACATTTGGTATTTTAAACTAGTTTTATCTTCCAGACAGCGAAATATCTGGGAATGAATATATTTATTAATCGAATTGGAGAAAAGGGAAATGATAATAGAGAAAATTTATTTAAATGAAGTGTCTAGCTCTTAAAGTTTCTTAGACAGACAGATCATGAACATATATACTTCTTGGGATATGCCTGTTTCTATCTGTAACATACATTTGCATAGAATCATTATGCCCTACTAAGCCCAATTGGTAGAGGGCATAAATAACAAAATCATTTGACCAACAGCTGGAGATAATGTGCATAACTATTACTTACTCGTTGTGCGGTATATCCTCATCCTGATCGGCAACAGCTGGGCATATGCGCTTTTGGAATATTAACACGCCCAGCAACAGGGCCAGAAAGCAGCTCAAATGATTGCGCGCCATTTTTTTTTTGCAAAATTTGACAGTTTTTCTTTTGTTTTTTTTTTTTGATTTTGGTTTCGATTGAACCTGCGGCTTTGTAACCGACACTGAATAAACTGTTTTCAATTTACTCGCACGAATTTCATATTATTGGTTTATTTTTATTTATTTTATGTTGGATTTGCGTGCTGTAAAGCCACAAAATAGTTTACCAAATGAATTTCGAATTTGTTTTTATTTATTGACGATTTCCACTTGATTTTTTTCGATTAACAAGTTGGCTTTTTTATATTTTATGCATTTAATTGTGTCAAGTTTTAGAAATTGTTAAATTTCATATGTTTGTTTTAAAACATGAGTTTGCCGCATTTTTATTAACTGCCAACAATTATTTGTATTGCATTTCTGGTTAAAGTTAAGCATTTTTACAATCTGTTTTAGTTAGACACGTTTAATTGCTCTGTTGGATATGTGTGGATTTGTGCGTGGGATTAATTTGTCCTTGAACAAGTCTAAGCTGAAATGGAAGCAAAAAATTGTATAAATTAGTGATACGCTCCAAATGTAGACATTATCATTTATGAGTATGGTGTATGATCAAAAATATACTTGAATTCACCGATTTTTATATACAATTTAAAATAATGAAAACCGCGTAGAAAGGCCTATGTTCGTAAGACAAAGATAAGAGTAATCGAGAAAGAGAGAGATAGAGAGAGAGGAAGAGAGAGAGAGAGAGTGGAAGCTAAGATACAGTTTTTAAATTAAGAAAAGCTTCAAATTACATAAAATGTAAGATTCAAAAAGAAAGAAAGATTAAGAAAAAAAGATATGGAAAGAGACATGGGAAGAGAAAAAATCGGGACGAGAGTGAGAAAAAGACACAAAGCCAAAGAGAGAGAGAGAGAAATAATAAATATGAATATTGTGAAAAAAGCAAAGGAACGGGAGGTAGAGAAAGTGAAGAGCAAAATCTAAAATTATTTAAAAACTAATCTTTCGCTTTTAGCTTCTATCACAATCTAGATCTGCAAGCCTTACTAGAGGAAATGAAAATCGCCCATAGTAAAAGCCATTTACAAATCGAAATTAAAGCGAAGACTGTCTGACTAACATTTCCATATGAACTCATCTTGAGGTTCTTCTTAAGAACATTTCGTATGCCTTTCTTTATACCAATAGTTTATCTAGCAAGCGAGTACAACAGAAATCACATATTATCAGGTTGATTTGGTCCCAGTAAAATTCGGTCTTTAAACAATGGTTTTTCATTGAAATAATCCAAGCTAAACTTTTCGATGATTATTAATTTTATTTTAAATAAAAAGATTTTTAAGCTTTGGGACCTACAAATTTTTAAAAATTAATTTAGACTAAAAATGTAATGAAAATATGTTTGCAACGGGCTCATATTGGGCTGATCAATGCGGAGGTTGAGTTTGACCTAGAAATGCGATTCCCAACACACACACACACGCACGCATAAATACATACATACACACACAAACAGACGATAGCATAAACTTATGCTCGGGTTTCGAAGTCGAATCCTTCCACGCTCGCGGTGACGGCGCAGGCGCAATGGCAAAGGCGGCCCATTCAGTTGGCCCCCACCTCGTCGTGGCAAGCGGTGTTTTTTTTTTGTATGAGCATGCCACCCCCAAAAGGCGCACATAGCTGTACATTGTGCGAGTTGCTCGATGTGTGTGTGTATGTGTGTGTGAGTGTGTGTGTCCCGAAGGATATCGCGTAATAATTTTCATTAAACATGGCGCAAGCCTTTGCGGCCCCGCACATAACTTTCCCCCCGCTCAGCACCCGCACCCGCAACGACCGCATCCGCATGAAATAAAGACAATTTATTGTGACCGATACGCACACACTTACACACACATGTTCAACACACACTCACTCACATATATATATATTTTTATACACGCTTTTTGTGCTGTCTTCTTTTTGCCAGTGCACGCTGCACATCAAAAACTTTGACAGAAATGGAGCGGCAGCCACGCACAGGATGCGGCCCGAGCGCTCCCTTTCAACGACGCCTAAAAGAATGCAACACATGCCAACTAATGTGCCACACACACATGCATACACACACACACAAACACACACACATATTACTCAAATTATGAATCTATGCATGTGATTTATTCGAAATTATAAAGGCAAACTACGAGCTGACGAATCCGTGATGCACTTGCAAATGCATGAAACCAATTTGATGCAGATCTTTTACAAGTTTATATAGAGATTCAAAATGGTGTATAAATTAAATTAAAATGCAAGCAAAAGATACTTCTTCTACGCTACTCTACTCTTAGGCTGTCCCTCCTAAAACGATTATATGTTAATTTAAAATAAATGTACAGTCTGATATGGGTACTTTAGGCTCACAAAGTTAGACAATAAATTTAACTGATAGCTTTCTTAATATGTTAAGATATTATATATCTTTATGAATTGAGGTATTTTTTAATAAAATATTAATATCAATCATTCCATTTTGCAAAATTATTGCAAAATAAAATTTTTCCTACCAGGTCGGTGATTTCCCATCACTATCTCTTTATCCTGTCTCCTATGATTTCAAATACTTTTCCTTTTTTAACAACTTTTTTTCTCCCTTTTTTCCTATCTATATATAAAACTGTTTGTCCTGACTGACTGACTGACTGACTGACTGACTGACTGACTGGTGATAAACGCACAGCTCAAACCGTAAGAGCTAGGAAGCTGAAATTTTCACTGTAGTTACCTTATGTGATGTAGGTGCACGTTAAGACGGGGTTTCGGGAAATTCCACTCGCAAGTGTGGAAAAATCGCGAAAAACGTTTGTATGTAACTTTTTTGTTTCCTATCGGCCCCAAACTTATTTTCAAAGATCTTTGTTCAAATTCATTTGAGGGGTGTTTCGCACTTTTCGGAAAACCCATTCCTCCTTGGTGGAAATGGAGGTCAAAGATTTGGTGGGTGACGTTTCGCTCTCAAATTCATTTCCAGAGATCTATAAGAAAAATCATTTGAGACGTGTTTCATACTTTTCGTAGAATCCAAACTTTTTCGGGTGGAATGCGACTCAAAGATTTTTTGTGCGAAGTTTTAAGTTGTGTCCGATTTGCTTCAAACTTATTTTTTCTTATTATTTCAGCGATTTGGGAAATTCCACCCGCAACAGTGGTAAATTGGCGGAAAACGGCTGTATGAAAGTTTTTTGTTTACCATCCGATCGGCCCCAAACTCATTTTCAAAGATCTATGTTTAAATTAATTTGCGGGGTGTTTCACACTTTTTGAAAAATCCATCTCTCCTTGGTGCAAAGAAGATTTGGTGGGTGACGTTTTGTGTTCAAATTTATTTCCGAAGATCTATAAGAAAAATCATTTGAGATGTGTTTCACATTTGTCGCAAAATCTAAATCCCTTAGTGGAAAATGCATTTCAAAGATTTTTTTGGTGAATTTTAAGTTTTTACCGATTTGCATTAAAGTTGTTTGATTCCCGTCCGATCGTTTCAAAATCATTTTCAAAGCTTTTTGAAAACATTGATTTTATAACATACGTGCCACGAGCAAGGCCGGGTGTTACCCGCTAGTTTATCATATATTCTAAAATAATATAGTCAATTAAGGTTCATTTTCATTTTCACTTCAGACTCTTATTACATCACTGACAAAATTAACTGTGAAAAGGGGCAAAGCTGGCCGGACGGGAAAATAAAAAACCTTCATCGTGTCGGTGAGGCTATTAGAAATATTTGTATTATGATTAGGTTTTTAGCTATTATTTGTTATATTCTTATATACTTCGGTTGACGCTCGTTTTGTCAACTTTTTAAAAATAAATAATATAAATAAATAATTTGTATCACTATTATTAAAATTGTTTTTAGTAAAGGCTACACTACCTCGTATTACATTATATTTTTTCGTGTTTTGTAACATTCAAATTCTAATGACTTTCGTAAATTGATCTGCCAGGTGATACTTATAATCAACAGGCAAGAGCAGCATTCTTCATATACCGAGGCAAATACACCTGTGCCCCGCTACTATTGAGTTGATGCGAAAGTTAAATTGAAAAAATGGGAAATATACTAAACAACTAGCGTACGCAATAAATTATTAAAACGTATGAAACATACATTTTGCATGTTCATTAGAAATAAATAATGTGTTCTATCAGCTTTGAAGATGAAATAACTAAGCTCATAACGTATCCATAATATCACAGCGTATCGGTATGAATGAGAATACATATATTTTAATGTGGTCTGCTCATCGAAAAACTATTATTTTATTTTCCAAATCCCTCACGCTTCCATAAAAAATTCAAATGCTGCACGTAGAAGGCATATTGCAAATGGATGAACTAAAAATAATAATAGTTATAAGAATATAAAAATATATATATATAAAAATAAAGCATGTGCAACGCGGCGTATACGCAACCGGCTAGTGGAATAATGTGCGCTGTTTTGTGAAAAGCGAAAGTTTATAGTTGGCGCACGTTCATAAAGTTGTGCGTGTTATACGAAAGATTTATTATATCGCATATATCGCAATTTTCCTTTCCCTTTTTTTTTTGTTTTTTTTTGTTTGTTCCATACTTTTTATGCTTTGTTTGCCTTTTGGCGTCTTTTTTATGCATTTCCATGGGTTTTCGGTTTGTTATTTTCCCGCAGCAACAACAACAACAACGACAGCAACACTAAGTGGCTGGGCAAATATGGCCTTGGGAGTTTTCGGTAACGGAATTAATGGGATTGTGAAAATTTTCAATAGCAAACTTTTCATGGCATGTTTGTCTGTGTGTGTGTGTGTGTGTCGGGTAATATAAAAATTTTTGATAAGTTATAAATCTGGTTGGTCTATATATATTTATGTGTGTATATGTATGTGTGCGCAGTTTTATGACTTGTCTGGCAATTGGAAGAATATAATTGGAAAGACTGTTAATATCGGCTTACGGCAATAATGCCGATGACAATAGGATTAGTGTTCAGAAAATGCCAACTCGTCAAATATAGCTGCACAACTAATGATGACACTATCGATTAAGTATTTATAACGATAGTTTTGTTTTTAAATATCCCTTTCAATCTATCTTTTATGAAAATATATGGGCATTCGCTGCATTTCTTAATAATATGACATTATTAAAATGAAAGCTTAAAATTTCGAAATTTAAGTGAAAATTCTAAAAGCAATAAAATTAAATTTAATTTACAACCTAATAACTATTATTGTCTTTATTCCCGTATTGCTCTCAACATTTCTTTAAGTATCTCAAATTAACTTAGCGAAAATTGTAGAAATTTGAATTGATTGTTTTCAGGTTCTTTTTGAGCGCATCATAAATTGCGCAAGCCCTTCTTAACTAGCAATATATTCTTTAAGTCGACTCCTTGGAAACAGTGCTCCCAAATCCTCTGACATGCTGTTCCCAACATGCTGCAGTACTCGAAACCAATTTGTTTGGCCAAAGCCAAGAAAGGACGCAGCAGCCACAGGCCAATTTGTTTGCTGCTGCCTTTTCGGGCCAGAAAAGGAAGAAGATGCCAAAGGATGCACTCCCAACTGAACAACTACAGCGACAGGCGGCAATTAATTAAGCTGATGGCAAACGCAGGACGAGCAGACAGACAGCTAGAGATAAAAATATTGAAGGACGCAGTGAAACCAAAACCAAGGATAATACAGATTACGCTAACCAATACAGTGATCGTTCGAGAAAGTAAACGCTTCATATCTATTTGTGCTTTGTTATTTGCAAAATAAATTTACACAAAATAAATCAATTATTTACTTTTATGCATATATTTTGAATTGAATGATTTATATTAATCTGGGGATTTTAAATAATCTGCATACTAATGTAAATGGTTAATCTTAACTGTGAACAAATCAAAGAAGTAGAAGTCATGTTTTTGTATTATATTTTAAATATAATTATAAGTTGATTTTTATATAATAATTAAGAATCTACTTTTTTTGTGTGAAATTTGGAATTTGTCAAAGGTAAATCGTGAAAAAAATTATAAAAAATAAAAACATCAATTTCAATTTGTTTCCATTGACAACAACAGGTTAAAGCACTTGACACATGTTTGTATTCTTTGATGCTTACCGATAACAACGTTGTCTTTGATTTTTTGCATGGAATTTAGCAAATTGGAATTAATATTAAATATTTTATTACACAGCGCATTCAGGTTCTTATATCGAAACACTACCATTTCGGGAAGTTCTATATATCGAACGATGACTGTAGCCTGGTACGCACACACAGACATTATGTAGGTGAACGGCTTAGTGAAGAAGCTGAGCGTTAGTTTTTTAACAGAGTTTAAGGGGGTGTGTGTGTGGGGGGAGGGGGGTATATTGTAGTGTTTGCCGAGGTTACGAGGCATTGGTCAAGCCTTGAGATTTTACGCAGCTGCGTAAGCTGCGTGGCTGTGTACTACACGATAATACCGTTATTATGTACTATACGAATACCAACAACACATATACATATATACAAAGTGTAGGCGAGTGCGTGTCTGTGTGTGAGCGTGCGTAGTAGTAAATAGTAAAATGGCATAGCATACTTTTTTGGGCGCGCAACACACACAAGTTAAATGCGCACGCACACAACGTCACACAAATTTTGATTTATGGCACCGCTTGAAACTTTTGCTAATTTATGTGATTTTGCAAAACAAAAAATAAATAAAAAAAAAAGAGAACAAACTAATGATTTCTAGCGCTTTCCTTTTGTCAATGTGTGTGTTTGTGTGTGTAATTTTATTGTGCAATCAACGACTGCAGCTTCATATATGTGTGAGAAGCGCTCTCACGCTCTTTAAAGTCGCTCTTTCGAGTTTGCTCCCACTCCCTCTCTCTCTCACTCACTCACACTTACTTGCTGCTTAGCGCGCCAAATTCGCAATTTCGAAGCTCCAGTGCGAAGTGCTGCTTGACCAAAAACAACAAAAAAAGTCTGTTGTAACGGGGGCGACGGCGGCTGCTGCTGCTAACGCCTGCTCTGTGTGCAGTGAAGCGCAGCGCAGTTGACGGCGACGTCAACGTCCACAGATTTGCCGACAAAAACACACACGCTACGTTTTTACTACGCGAACGTCGGGCAGGACCGTTAACTTTCGAAAGAGCTCGCGACGAGAGACGATTTATATGGCTGCGCGGCGTTGGCGTCGGCGTCGGCGTTTGAGTTGGGCTCTGCTCTTCGGCTTTTTGGCGCTCACAAGTATTATACTACTACATACATACATACGTATACAAATATATGTCTGTAACGTATATATCTATATATATATAATTGTATGTCTATTTATACATGTATAAGGAATTTTTTCAACATTTGCTTTCAAGAAATTGTAGTGTACAGAGATTTTCACATGCGTTTTTTAAATTGCACTCGCGTTTATTTATTTTTGCTGTATGTGTTTTTCTCTCATGCTTTACAACACTAGATTTTAACTGTAATTTTGAGCGCTCTTTGCTTGTCTTTTGATTTTTTAATTTGCCAAACACAAATGTAATTTTTAATTTATTTTGTCAATTTTTTGCACACTTCTATGGTGTTTTATATTCATTTTGGTCGTCGCGTTTTAGTTTTGTTGTTTTGTATTGGGTTTTAGATTGAATTCTTATGTCTTTTGGCGCTTCGCGCGAAACGCATCCACACTCGCCTGGTTCACGCACCGAACTGAAACTGAGAGCGCTGCGCTCTTTGGGGGCAATGCTTTTGGGAGCATGTTGCTCGCCATTTCGAAAGCAGAAATTGTTGCGAGGAGGGGATTCGTATTATGGAGCGGCTAGCATTTCACTTGCCAAAGACACGCGCGCGCCTTGTTGGGGTTGCAACGGTTTATTGTTCTTTTTGGTGATGAGCCATCACCCACACTGCGTGTCACGCGCTGCTTATCGAAATATCGAGAATAGCACTCTGACAAAAGCTACTCTGTGTGACACTGTGGTTTGAAGCAGCGTTCGCTGCATTGAAATGTTTGCTAAATTAAGGCACACTAGCTGCTGAAAGCTTTGATTCGAAAAGCTCTTTTGGTAGACACAAACTGAGCTTTTAAACATGAACTGGAAACTGGAAACTAGAAAACAGAAATGTTGGAAGATATTTGTTCGATATACAAAATAAAACATATTGATATCGCCTTTCAATCTTCCGTGGCGATAGATACAATTTTGGCGTTCATGCACAATTTGCATAATTGAACTATCGGAAAAAATATACAAACATAAATTTAAAAGTAAATGAAATTTTTAGCTGAATTGTAGATGTGAGCTTAAGCTTTGACCCAGAGTTAAAAATGATCAAAAATTAGATATATATAAAAATTCTTGAAGTAAAGCCCCTTCGAATAACACAAACCCGCGGTTTTTACTTTATATTTAAGAGAAAAAAAATAGTTCTTTTCAACGAAATCTTAGCATAGAAAAATATCGTTTCTTTTGCGTTCTTCTGACTTTATATACAAAATATCAATATATTTGTTTTATTTATTTTTTTGTTTGTTTTGTTTTTAGTTGACATTGAATCATGGATAAGCGTACTTGTGAAATTAATAAAAATCAATTCATTACTTTAAAATGTTACGTTAAAAACTAAACTTAAATACGAAAATTATTTTTTTAGTTCTGCTTTTTTTGTGCATTTTTTGTTTTCATTCCAGGCTTAAAAAATATGAACACTAAATGTTTAATTTAACCTAAGTGAATAATTTTACTATATTTTTTTTTTTGTTTGTTTTTGTTGTTTTTGAATATACATCCGTTGCCATAGAGATATTGTACACGTATATAATAATATATTATATGCGTTTTAGCAGTGTGTGCGGGTCTGTGCGTGTGTGTGTTTGTGTGTGTATATATAGATATATATATATAGTTATATACAGATTGATTTGCTTAGCAAATTATGGCAAATTATTCTACAATAAAAATGTTTCAAATACATATACATTTATGTTTGATTGTATTTGTAATTTAATTCATGTTAATTTTTTTTTCAATTGCCAATTCTCATTATAAATATTATCTTCATGTCAGCTTAGGTATTTCTATATATATATATATTTCTGTATATATATATAGTATGTATTGTACATATATATAGGGTTAGTAGGGTTAATGAATGAATATGCCGCATTAGCATTAGTCGTTGTTAATTTTGGTGCATTTGCCCTCAACTTATGGGTTAATTTTAGTATATTAGTCAAGTATATAGTGCATAGGCTTTTGGCTGGATTAAAGATTAGTTTTGTTAATTTGAGCTGAGTGTCTGAGTGCCTGTGTTAGCTGACGTGTTCTCTCTGTACAATTTAAATGTAACTAGACTTTTTCCTAAAGTGTATTGTTCTTTATAAAATATGCCAACGCTGAGTCTGAAGTCTATAATAAATACATACTGCTCAACTTGAAGTTGGCAAAAACAAAAAATAATAATTATGTTTTTAAACTTAAGTTGAATTCAATTTTGCCTTGGGTTTAAGCATGACTATAAACTATATTGTGAACATTAAAATTATATATTGTTTTATATTATATAGATACACATAATTTAAATAGGCATTGTTTTTGTTGTTTTTGTTTTTGTTTTCGTTTGGGCAGCGATTTGCGAGCAAAGTGCAAATTAAAAGAGAAAAAACAAAAAGCGCGCGCTTATGAAATTTCAATTAAATATTTTTTAAACATTGGAATTAGGCAACTAATAACTTTTCACTTAACATAAATAATTTATAATATTTTTAGATATTTATATTTATATATATATATTAGAAACACTTAATAGTTAAATCTGTTAGGGCGGGCGTGTGTGTGCTTGAGAGAGAGACAGTGGACTTGAGCGCGTCTAAGCGCGACTACTTCCGCTTCCGCTGCCGCTGCTGCTGCTGTTGTCGGTGCCAGAAATCGCAGGATTCTTGTGACCGCCAATTGGCTGGAGCGGCTGACGAACGCTGGAGCTGCTCGCAGATTTAATTGCTGCGGCTGCGGCTGTGGCTGTGGCTGTTGCCGGCACATCCTCCTCATCGCCCAGATACTCATCCGGCTTGTGACTAGAGGCCGGCGGCGTTAGCAGACTCTCTGGAGCGCGCAGTGCCGTCGCCGGCGAGGCCTGAGTGCGAGCTCGCATCTCGTGCAATGTATTCTGTGCAAATAGCAGTTCATCCTGAGAATTTCAAATAAAAACGTAAATATATAAGTGAAAATTCTAGCAAAGCTGCTCTAAGCTATTCTTCTTTCCTTTTTCTTAGATACTTACATACATATCCATTGTGATTGTGTGCGTCTGAATGATGTGCGAGTCATCGGTGGTAATGTTCGGGCAGATGTGAGCCAGTCCAAATTTATTTGTCACCTGCTCGTTCTGTTCATTCAGCTGCAGATAGGGCGCCTTCTTGGATACGACATGGAAAAAGGGCTCCATCCAGCGCGCGCAGGGCTGCACCGCTTCCCAATCCAGGCCCGAACAGCGCAAGGCGGTCTCACTAAAAGCAGAAAGCGAAAATAAACTTGAGTATGGAAGAAGCGCGGAAAATGGGTGGTTTATGCAATTGTTTTCTTTTTTTTTTTTTGATTTAAATTAAATAAAAAATATAGTAAGCTCCTCAGTAAAAACGAATATCTTTTAATTTAAGAAGAAATAAAATAAATCCAGCTATAAAGTTTTCTCGCACAAAGGTGGAAAATAGGTGGAAAGCTATTAAATACATTTTTATGTATTTATATCAAGATGTCTATTTTCGAATTCGCCTTTTCACTAACGCAAAAACTAAATAAAACTAGTTAAAATCTTTCTAGATAACCAACTTACCGGTTGAATGTATGACTGATGGCCGCGGCGGCCAAAATCGAATAGGGATAATTGGCCATGCCCACATCCAAGGTGCACAGATCGAGCAGCTGCGATGTTTGCACAAACTCATAGGCCTTGAACTGTGGATAGATGAAGGCATCATCTGCCTCGCCGGCTATCGCCTGTTTGCCAATTTGCGAGAATGAGGCCGGCGTGCGATTGTTAACAATGAGCTGCATATAAACGCCCAGCCAGGCGGTGACTGTGATGGGGCAAATGTCCCAGTTGAGCGCCAGCAGCAGCAGTATCTCATGCTGCAGTATGTCCCGCTCAGTGCAGGCGCCGTCCGTCACATAGGCGAATTCGCTGATCTTTGGCGGATAGATTTCCTCCACTTTGGCGGCAACGAACAGACAGGTGATGCCAATCAGCTGTAGATGGGTCTTTTGCACCTGCCGACCGGAATGCAAATAGCGATCCAGATAGTCCACAGCCAAGTAGAAGGTCTCGCGATGCAGCTTATACACCTCGCAGACCTCGTTCAGCCAGTCAAGCAGTATGGCACGCATGCGCGGCTGCAGGCCCGGATGCTGCTCCAGCATGCTGCTGCTGCGCAGATGCGAAACCAGTTCATCGCGTTTGCACATCAGTTTCCAGACGTCCGCAGCGTTGGCCCAGGATAAAGCGGGCAGCGGGCACTGACGCACAGTTGTCTCCCCCGCGGGCGACATGCAATTGTAGCTGTTGTGTTCGGTGACATCCTTTTGAGCATTGAATTTGCTCAACGCGTCCTTGCTGACAGTGCGGCTGCCATTGCTCGGCGGATGGGCAAGCTGCTGTGTAGCCGGCGTGCGTTCACCATTCTGACTGCAGCCGGTGACCGTTGAGGAGGCGGGCGATGAGCTCGACGAATTGATTTCCTCATCGTCCTCCACATCGTTGTCATCGTCGTCGTCGTCCTCCTCGTCGAAGGAGTACTCCTCGCAGCTGTCGTCCAGCAGCTCGTCAACGTCAACGTCAGCCTTTGACTGCTCCATTGATGCATAGGGCACCACTCCCGCCAGCTGCTTGGCACCGCGATCCGGACTGGGCGGACTGTCTGGGCTATCGGGCAGCGGACTATGCGGCGCCTCCGGCAGCTCCTCGGCTGGCGAACTGCGTATGCTGAGCAGCTCCTGGGCATTCAGCGCCGTCTCGCTGGTCGTCGATGTCACCGGCGATGTGTACACCGAGGAAGCCACCGAGGAGCGATCGCTCTGGTCGCTGCCATAAGCCACACCAGCCAAACGCTGTTGGCGTTTAGCCGATGGCGGTTCGTAGCCAAGTTCAGGATCCTAAAATACGAGAGGAATTTAGCTTTTAGTAAAATGTGCATTATATTATTTTGAATAAATTTATAAACAAGATATAAAGATGTTTCTTCATATTAAAAATAAATAGTGTGATTTTTTTTTTTTTCGATATATCTTCAAATAATTAACGCCTGAGTTTGACAAATCTTAAACATGTTTATTTGATCTAATTGGGCTTTCAGCATTTAATTTTCTTAATTAAAAAATATTAAATAATTTGGAAGACTCTCGTAAATAAATTAATTAATCAAGCAATCTTCATCATAAAGTATTCCATGAAGAAAAAGAAAATCTTATCAAATAGATCTTCCATTTGATCGTAACTATCTTCCATATAATATCAGCCACTTAAATGTAACCCCAAAGTGATCGTCTATATATCTTAGATCTATAAACTCATGCTTGATCTTATCTTATAAAAGAGAACACAAATTAAAATTTTGAGAAAAAGATCTTTCGACTGATCTTAACTAGATAAAAATTATATATATATAATCTTATATAATATACATATAATCCGTATATTACC